AAAGTGGTAGATCTATTAAAGTATTTCCAGATGAAAAACTATCTCAAGAATAGCCAAAAACATAATCCATCAAAGACATGACAGAGGACCTGAGAGATGCATCATACCGCAGCATATTGGCTGTACAAAAATATTCAAACTATGATTTAAATTTTTTTATATATAAATATTTAGCAAATCAAATGGGGAAAATTATGTCCTTGTGGCATGCTGCTGGTGACAAAGTGTTATTTAAATAATTTGTTGTGCTGATGCAACTAATTTAAGATCACTTGATTGATTCCTAAGAAACAAATAAAATATTGCAAATTTACTAAGTTGGAAGGTTGTAAATTGACCATCACATACTCTCACTGTCAGAGACTCCCCCTCTCTTATTGTAGGTATGTGTGTGTTCATTTAAATTAAAGACCATAATATAAAGTCTATTGCACCCTACAGAGTGACCCTGTCTGCTTATGTTTGGGATGTTGCCTGGTGTGTTTTTAAATGCAGCCAGTTTTTCAGCTCCGTATCTAATCATATTAGATATTTGTGCTGTCCATACTGACTAAAACTGATCAGGATAACATTTTCTTTTTTATTCACCATGACTGAGTGACCCTGCTGTAAAGTATTAGTAAAGTATCTGTCCGTGTCAGACTTGCTGTCAAATTCTCCAGGTAGATCACTTTAACTGGCAAAAATCTGCTGAAATTGGCTTCCTGTTATCGAAACTTGATACGGGAATAAATTAGGGTAGGATAAGGATGAAAAGTGGAAGAGTTTTACAAATCTGTGTCAGGTTAGAAAACTATCCTCATCTTGTACTTTTCTCCAGTATTATCCTGTTTTATGCTAAACATACATTTTTCATCCCTTGTTATTAGTTATCCTTCTCCTCTTTCATTATGAAATATGGCTTTTGACTATATTTGGAAAAACTTGCATAGAGCACTTGAAAAGTGTTGAAATTCTAGAAAAAAACACAGTACATATCTGTGAAAGAAGGAATTAGAAGCCATGGGGGTAACACTGAACTCAAGTGACCAAACATTATAGACCATGAAAAGTTCAGTAAACACTGGTCATCTGGTCTGAGCAAGAACATCCAGTCAGAAAAAGTTTTGTGTTGACACTTTAACACCAACTCCCAGTCATGGACTTTAAGAGGTTGCCGAGGCAACACAAGCACCATATGGCTGCTTTTTTAAATTGAAGCTGATATTTTTCTTAGTGAGACCTTGATTGTTTTTCAGCTTTGTGAGTCACTCCCTGGTATTTGAAAACAATTCATTCAGCTTCATGGACGTAATAAAAGAATGCATGCTTTGCAGCTAATCCTGCTAAGTACACACAATATCTGAAATAGGTAGCAGTATAACAATCATGTTTATGAGTCCTGTGCTGTTGTTCACGTCTCTTTGTAAACAGCTTTTCCTTTTAAGATGTTTTATGTTGTTGTGCTGACACCAGCCAGTATGGAAGCCTTTGGTTTTCCTCAAGAACATTTCATGATTGACTCTTTAAACACTCCAAGATCTAAGGCCTCCGTTTGATTTGGTTATTGAGGTACAAGCCCCTTATGCCAACAAAAGTGATTTTTTTTATTGAATGCATTCAGTTAAGAGATTTCCGTTTTGTTTGATGCACAGAAAGCATGAGATTAAGGTGAGATTGTTTCCATGAAAACACGGAATAGAAAAACAAAACTGATGATCTGAACTGCTTACGTGAATAAGCGGGAGCTGAAGATGGTTGGGGATATCACAAAAACAAAATGTTTCACAAAAGCGTCTCTTTGATTTGTTGTAAATACAGTCTGTATGAGTAAATTTCAATTATTGGATGGATACCTCACAATGCCTCAGTGCCCTGTGGAGCTCCAAATTAATTATTTGTTTAAATAATGTGTCAGCCATGTGAACAAAATCACTTTTTTGATTTCTGTTCTCTATTGTTCACATGAAAAAGCTAGATCTTATTTATCTGAAAGCGATGGAACATTTCTTCCTGAAAATCACTGGTTTGAGAGTTGAATTAGTTGTTATTTACAGCAGATTTCTACAATTTATAAAAAATAAGATATGCAGATGCACTGAGCCTCAAGTAACTAAATGTCTGGTAAAGGTGCCATATCACAGAAAATCCACTTTTTGGAGTTTTTTACTCTGTGATGTTATTTTCTCATGAAAACAACCCCAAAGCCGTTTTTGGCTGCATTCATGCATTTTCCTGTAACTGCTGCAAGTTTAGTTATACTTTGAAAATTCTGAAACTCCTGAAAGAAAACTACTTGCGCCATCAGGCATTTCTCCTCTCCCTGAGCTGATGGTCTCGGTTCTGAAACCTGGAAATTCTGTGGATATTCTGGCAAATGTCTGCTCTATTGGGGACAAAGCGCCGCCGTACAAAACATGCGTCCTGTCTACAAAATGCATGTGATGGCAAGCTCAGGATATTAGGAGACTATTGCTTTGTAATAGGCTCTGTAGTCCTATGGTGAGTGTGCCACAGTGCCATGTAGTTTTGTGCAGGTTAGACTCACGCGACCAGGAGTCAAGCTGGCCAGTATGATGTATTCAACCCTTTATTTGTAAACTGTTAAAATTGTAAGAACCAATTTGATTTTTTTTTTTTTTTTACTTTTTTTGTTTATTTTGCCAGTGCGGATTCATGTGAGGTGAGCAGAGTAAATAAACTAAAAATCTGCTTGGAAATGACCAAATTCAAAGATCTTTAGAGACACCAAACATTTTGCAGAAAATAATCAATAAAACTAAAATATAAATAAATGAACTGTGCTTCTGCTGCCTAAATAAATAAGTGGCAACACCAGGAGTCGAATTGGCGTCCGCACATGGCAAAGTAAGATGAAAGGCAAGTGCTAAAACCACTGGACTACCAAGGCCAATACAACAGCAGGCTTGATTAAGATGCTGTTGTGGATGCATTTTGTCAGAGCGGGCACGGGCAGTTCCACTGAAACAAACTGTTTCATTTCCAGGTGTGAATTCAGGCCGTCAAAAATAACTCATTTGTGTCGCATAGTGTCAACAATAATATTTTTGCATTTATTGTGCCTACCTTTGGTCTCAAAGTTTGATATGAGTGAGATTAATGTAAATAACTGATTGTGTGTGAAAGTGCATATGAATGGGGAGAAAGAGAAGGTGGAACATCTAAACTTAAACACAGTTGAACACAAACTAAATTGAAAAAAGGATGCGGGAAATGCTGATTTTTCTGGTTATTTTGTCATAATTTCCCCTAAAATGTGATAACCAACATCCTAGATTTGGTGATAAATGACCAATAAAGTGACAGCCATGGAGATAATAAACTGACGTTGAACATCAGAACAACTGGATTGAATCGGCACCTGCATGAACAGCGGGACTTGTTCCTCATCCTTGGAATCATCAGCGTCTGCCTGCTAAAAATGACCAGCAAACTCCTGCTGCAGCACAAATAATATGCTGGCTTCTTCCAATTTAGATTTTATTTTTCATTCCCTAAAAGGTCAGAACTGTCAAGAAGGTTTGCAGTTGTTCAGCAACGCAAAGTTGTGTGACAAACTTCAGCCTAGACTACACAAACACTGTGGAGAGTTTCACCGGAGAATAACCGGAATGTACTGCAAATTACAGACTGCTATAATAAAAGTTTCTATAAAGCTATCATGCATATACCTCCGAAGGATTTCTATATTTTATCATTCTGTAAATGAAAGAAAATTACAGAAATGTTTGTGTAATTTCATTACATTGCATGAATTATTTAGCAACTTGCAATTGTTTGCCAGCAATAACTTTTTTTTTACATATTCTAAAAAATGTATTTCAGCCACTGGACTCAAAAAATTAAAGAGTTTGACAGCAATAAAGAAAGTAAAACATGCAATGTGTACTACATTTTTATTAGTAATCACAACTAACGCTAATTTTATCTTAATAAATGAAAACTTATTAATCACAACTTCAGTTATTTCATATTTCTGGGATACTAATGCATGTTTTACATGTAAATCATTGACTATTTATTAGATATTTATAAGACTAGAAATTTAAGACTTGAGTGTCAAAATAAAACAGTATCCGTAGGTAATAGAAAAGTTGTTTATCTTGTTTTAGTCAAACAAATTTACAACAATTACCAACAGACTAGTTGTGAAGAGTTAAGAATTTTGACATATAAAATAATTCTAATACATCCAGTAAATTTGGTCCAAGAACCATAACATTTCTTAATTGAAGCTGGTTTTAAACTACGTTTTAAAACTGTCTCTCATTGTTTTATTTAATCACGTCTAGAGCCAGACAATAATTCAATAACAATACATATCGATCGGTAGATATTGGGCGAGATAGAAAAAAATAAAATGGGTCAATAAAAATTTCAATTAAAAGTCTCCTTTCATTTTTCTATTATACCCTATTGGGTAGCTTAATACTACAGTAAACACTTGAATGGTCTGTATTTGATATAGCACCTTCTAGAGTCCTGGAACCCCCCAAGGTGCTTTACAACACAATCAGTCATTCATCCATTCACACACACATTCACACACTGATGGGGATGAGCTAGGATGTAGTCACACCCGGGGCGCACTGACAGAGGCGAGGCTGCCTAGCACTGGCGCCACCAGTCCCTCTGACCACCACCAGCAGGCAAGGGGGGTTATGTGCCTTGCCTAAGGACAAATCAAAAGCGTCAAACTGAGCGGGGCTCAAACCTGCAACCTTCCAATTACGGAGCAAGCACTTAACTCCTGTGCCTCCTTCTCCCCACTTAATCCCAACCAATCAAAACCAAAGACCCAGGCACTCTCCATTACCAAACCCTCCCTCTCAAACTAAAACAGACAGCAACTGTCACGTAAAAAGATTACAGTAGTTCAGCAGCAAGGTAATTTTGGGGTTTTTACAAGTCTGACAAAAAAACACACCATGATCAATTGGAAAATTTGCAGGGAATCGATTAAAAATCAAGTTTGGTGGCACAACCAACTTGTTTTACCATAACTTATTTACATCAAATGGCCAGGGCCACACTTAAAGGTGCAGTATGTACGAATAAACTGAGAATTTTACAGTGATAAAATCCTAAAAGTCATAATGGAAGGAAGGTTATAATGAAACATATTTCATATCCAGCTGAATGTGGGCATCGTCAGTTTTTCTCCTTTCAAAAAAAAGGAAGGAGGGACATAACTACTGTTTACCATCAGTGAGTGTGTGTGTGTGTGGGGGGGGGGGGGGTCTCCTGTGAGCTAATACTGCAGCACCGACAATTGTAATTTGACGACAAACAGCAAAAAGCTTCAGAGTTGTTTAAACTGGTCGCAGTAACCAAATTTTACCACAGGATGTCATTTTTATTTCATTTCTACATAATGCATCTTTAAAATATATGTTCTCAGTTTTTTATAATTATCTATAATTATCGATATTGATCAACAGGAATATTCTTTATCGATGAGTTTTTTTTCTGGCCCTAATCATGTCTATCCGCACCGTCACTTTTGCTTTTAGCACCATTTAAGATGGCCGCTGTAACTAATCGGCGGTTGGAAGAGACAAAAAAAAGAGTTGATTAATTTAACAGATATTGAACCAAACTTTCATTTGAGTGTAGCTGAGAATCTCATTTATGGATTTATTTAGTTACTCTGTGAAGGCAGTAACAGGGACGGCTTCCTTTCTCCAAGGGGACAAGAATGCACTAATGGAAGTTTGGGCCTGAGATGATCGCTCTGTATGCTTTTAATTTATAAAACAGGAACAGCAACGGCAAAAAATACTCAACGTGTTATTGAAAGATAATTAAATACTAAAAAGTTACTCTGGGTTAAAATTTATTTTAAATTAACCAAAACAATTTAAATAAAAGGCATTAATAACAATAATTTATTTTGATTCTGATGAGAACAAACTTTAACAGATCCAAGTGTGACTGATGTGATCTATTTTTATATTTTCCCCTGGCAGCTCAAACACTTCATAGAGCATATTTAAGTCCATATGTAGAATTCAAGCATGCACCAAAATAAAATGTAATAGAAAACAAACAAACACCTTATAAACTAAAGCAGTCCTTTTAAAATGTGGGAATATTTGAACATAAGTTTGGAAAACATTTCACATTTAGATATTGTTACCATTAAAAAGATGTTGTAGAAATTATTTAAATATAACGTGTTATCCCCATGAAGAAAATCCAAAACAGACCCTTTTTTCATTGTTTTTCTTTTCTTTCTTTTGGCTGGTGTGGACATTAAAGAGTTAAAAGTGAGTAAGTTGATGACCAAGATGATTCTGTTCCTCGAATTCCTGGATAATAAACACTTTTGTTCAGCACAGTGAAATGCTTTGATATCAGCCTGATTGTTGAATTAGTTGAATAGAAAATGACACAAATTGTCATACAATTAAGTGACTTAAAATTTTTGCATGAAGAAAACAAATTTTCTGCACCTTTCTCCGATTCATGCTGAACAAAAAGCTCTTTCTTGGCGTGACTTTGTGTGGTTTGAAAAAATAAAGCATGATCACAGAAAAGCTGACTTTCTGTCACATGCACTTTTTGTCACCTAGTGATCTGAATCGATACGTGAAAGGACACACCAGGTGAGATGAGCTGTGTGCCAGCACTGTCAGAACAGCACAGCGGCTGGTTCTGGCTCAGCAGAGCGGCTGCTTGGATGCCCTGGGAGTGAGGACTTTCTCTGAGCTGCGCTGATGCACTGCATGCTGGGAAGGCCACGGCATGCTGCCTGCTTCTGGAGGTTCAGCGAAGGAAGTCGCCCTGTGGGTAGAAAGATATTTGTGTTTTTCATATTTTATCACAGTTTCATCAACAGTGAGAGATATAAAACTTCTGCGGTTTAAAGCCTGGATATTGAAAACAGCAAAAACCAGCTTTGACCTTTCCCCAGATGTGTTTATGGAAATATGTTCGTAAATGTCACAGAGACCAGAACAAATTATTGAGGATTCTTTCAGAAATAACTTATTAAATGTTGCTTTATGTCATTAGTCACGCTGCCTAAAAAAAGCATTACATAATAATTACATGAGACTGATCATTTACTACATTTTCAGTGTTTCAGAAGTCATACACAACGACATTGTGACATCATAATGTACCAGCTAATGTCGTCGTGTACCTCTTAGCCACTAGCGATGGCAGATTTTCATTCAAATGCAGAGCCGAGTTTTTATCTGAAGACGTCGCAACACTGACATGTTTAGGCAGAATTTTTAAATTTTAACTAAGATGCACTAAATGCCAAATTATTGACCACATGTGTCTACAGCTTGATTAGACACTCATTTATAAAGTTTACCAGCAAAAAAAGTTGATTTGGGGGTGACTTGCTTTTTAAATTGAATTTAGTAAGGCCATTTTTGTTGTTGATGTTTTGTAACAACATGAGTTTGTTTTTGGCTTTGATTATGATTTTATTTATTTATTTGAAACATGCTCATCAGTTTTTACGAAGACACCCGATTTTCACGTTACACGCCTGATTTGAAATTTGTGGATCCTGCTTGTGTGTTCTGATTTAATCAAATGTATTATTATTTAAAACTCTTTCATGAAAGGCTATAAAATGCAACCTAAATGAGACACAACATTAGAAGAAATTGTTTGTCCATGTTACATTTAGCACCAATGACATTTTTATCGTCAGTCCACAAAAAGCAGGAGCTAGTGTTCAGAGAGCTAGAGTAATTTTATGGGAACAAATGGTACTTCTTTTGTTGTTACATGTTCAAGTAGAAATCCTCAGCAGATATGTATCTGACCTGCCTACACAGCAAGTGAGCTTAATATTTTACTAATAGTTGGAATCCACTGCAGACAAATAATTCTACAATCATTGTCAGCAGATAAATACGGACTTTTTCATCAGTTGTTTTTGCAGAAATACAGAATTTTTTTTATTTGAGTAAAAAAAACACAAAACACTTACCATCATGTTCTGCAGGTTTTGAGCTGAAATCAGCAGCATCCCACTCATAACTCTCATCTACCGAAGGCTTTCTCCTACAGAAACAACAAATTGTGTTTAACACAATGTAGGACCACTGATTAGATTCTTTTATGCTCATGTGTGCAGCCAGTACCGTCCTAATATCTCCTTTAAACTAAAAGAAAACCACATTTGCTTTGTAGTTTAATGAGTAACCTCCTCCGACCGGACATTTTCTTTCAATTTATTTGGCATACTGCTAAGTTTTTTTTTTTAGCATCACAAGACTAATATTTCACTTAAGAAACAGATCAAACACACCTGATCATGTATTTTTGTAAAACCTATTTCTAAACGCAAGTTATTTTTAATTAAATAAAGTATAGCTTGTGGTTTTGTTTTCTTCTCAACTATCTGTGGGAGCTTCCTTTGAAACTTTATGTCAATTAACATCTTCCTAGTTGTAGGTGGCTCTTTGAAACCACCACAGATTTGGCTAAAAAGATTAGCTGTGATTGGAGTGACATGCCAACAGCTTCTACCATTTTAAAATCCAGTTTTATAAACCATTACACTTCTGACATTTTCATAATACATTTTATCTTTGCAAAAATAAATATTTGATCATTTCCAACAGGAAGCTTTGAAACGGCAGATGACTAGCCCTGCTACTGATATCTGCGTCAAATTACCATAATTTATATAATTCAAAATGTTGTGTGAAGTCTACTGCAGATTAAAGGCTTTGAAAACAGTCTTTAGACATTTTTTAGGTAAGGATTATTTTAGGAAGGTTTCTTGGGAATGGTCCTGCTGTAACTGGCTGTTGGCTCATCAATCCAGGCTGAACTCATCTGTTTGTCCAAACCTGGGTCTTTAACAGGAACAGAGATTCTTCTCAACCTTTTCACAGGACCCAACTTCATAGCATCTAAAGTACTAACCGTGATAAAAAAATTAATAAAGTTAACATTAATTTTGTATTTTTTCCACAATGAAAGAAACCATGATTATGTTTTCAACTTAACAGCAACATTTGGTACATTTCATCACTAAAATCACAACTTTTCAGTCATTATGTTCTAAAACCTTTACCATGGTTCCACGTGTTGGTTGTGTTTGCCCACTGAGCACCTCCTGGTGTCCTCCACAGTCTCTGGTGAGCCGTTTGCCGTCTCCATGCTGCCTCGGCCGCTGCTGGCGTAGCTGCTGTAACTACTCCCAGACTCTGGAACTCCCTCTGAAACTTCTGCGTCTACTGCCAGAGCTTCATGATCACTGTTGAATGGTGGTAGGTAACTGGAAACTTTCATCAAAGGTCCCTGGAAAGGAACTGGCTGATGAGCACCATCTGGTAAAATGGAGGCATATCTTAATGGCTCACAGCATCTGGACTCAGCGCGACTTTGAGCCAACCTCTGTGCTCCTAGAGCTAAATGATCTACAGCAGGAGAGGGTTGGGAGTTCCTTTGGATCGTTGGATAGGAAGTTCTCAAGGAATCTGGTAGATGAGATGGTGAAACAGAGCAGTTCTCTTGGCTGAGAGAGTCTATCCAAGCATCTGGTGTGAGGAAAGTATTTGTCTTCTTTTGCCTCCTCAGGTCTAAGCTCTGACTTCGTTGTTTACGGTCCCAAATTTTTGAGGAACGACTTTGAGGTCTCCAAAACTCTGGCTCTGAAGTCATCCGAGAATGGTGGGCCCTATCGATGTTGTCCACAGAAACAGGGCTGCTGGCGTTAAGGCTCTTCTTTAGATCTTCACACCTGCCTCTTTGAGTCAATGGGCAGCCATGCTGCAAATGAGAAGCAATCCTGTGATGCAACATGGGCTTTGTAAGCTGAGGCCTGTACACCTCAAACTCTGGCTCATCTACACACATCTCAACACTTGTGTCTTTATCACTGGGTCCAGGAAACGCTACCTCCAATCTCAAAGTATCTGGTGCTTCTTCTAAAGTGAAATTGCATCTTTCAGAGTATTTATTGCTGTGAAAAGACAAAGTCGAGAGACTGCCATGACTTTGATTGTTCAGTCTTTGTGCTTCAGAGTGAAGATCAGCTGTTGAAATGCCCAAAACAGTGGACTGTGTTGAATTTTCATAATCATCCGGAGACGACAGTAGTCTTCTGTATATCTGGTGCTTAGAGGGGAGATGTGGGAGAGTTAATCCGTCTTTCAAAATAGCATCTACCTCCTCAGGTTGGTGCGAGGTCTGTTTGGCGAACGTCGGAGGGAGAGTGGCGAAGCGAGAGGGGTCTAAAGTTGGAGTTGAACTGGGGTAGTCTCTAGTTTGAATCAGAGTTGGCTGAGAATTATGAGAATGGGCTTCCCAGTGGACAGAAGAGGATGAGTAGGAGTCCCCCTTGCTGTTTTGGTGATATTTATTTGGTAATGTGTTACTTTTATATCTCCAAAGGTCCTCGCCACTTTCCTCCCCTGCCCCTCTGGTGATTTGCTCCCTCTTCAAACCTTTGAAGGAGTTTCTCTCTAATGTGTACCTTCTGAGCTCTAATTCAAGTTCTTCTCTCTCCTGAGCCAATTTCAGGCACCGACTCAGGTTCCCTCTCTCCCGCTCATGCTCCATTTGAAGCACCAGGGAACTCGCTGTGGTAGACGGCTGACCAAAGCCAGCTCGGATATGCGGAAGCACTGGGAACACTGGAGTTATTTGTCCATTGTGATGGGGGATTGTGTCCACGCTACTGCTTGAATACAGGCTGCTCTGATCAGGGTCGTAACTCTTCCTCTGACCCATAACACATGGGCTGTTATTTCCAATGTTGAACATCTGATTTGTGGACTCAACCTCATTTTTACAAGGAGGGAAATCAACAGAGAGCACATACGGCTCTTTTTTCGTGTCTTCCCTTTCCAAGTGCAGTGAAACAGATCTCCTGACTCTGGTGTGTTGGTCATACTTTAGGCTGTTCTTGCTTCCAACACTCATGTCGTCATCTTCGTATGTTGGGAGCAAAAACCGACCATCTGGACCTCTAGAGATCATCTCAATTGGAGGAGAAATCAGAGAAGTTGTCTTAGTAAGTCTGTTGCTGTTTGACAGAAGATGTGTATGCCGGTGGTGATGATGATGATTGTTGGTGCTGGAGGAGGAGGTGTCCATTCGCATGGAGGAGGTGATGGAAGAAGTGGTGGGATAGAGTGAGTTGGTTGGAAGGAGGCTTTTCTTCAACAAACTGTCTGGACTACTGGAGCCTGAAGTCTTACTGTAATAGTGAGAGAAAGAGGGGGAGGGAGTGAGGGGTGATAAGAGGAAATTGTAAGGAAAAGAAAACAGATGTAAGGAGAGGAGAATCAGAGCAAAAATAAGACAGATTGAATGAGGGGGCGGAAAATTGTAGGCAGAGCGAAAAACCCAAACAGCGGCAGCAACAGATACAGAAGATATGAAACAGAATAGTATTTTCTACGCTTTCTAAAAAGAAGCGAAAGAGAAAGGTCAATGTGAGGTATGACGATGAATTGATAAAGGGGTACTCACACTGATGGGGAGCATTTATAGATGGCAGGGAGAGGATCTGGAGAGGGAGGTGCAAAATGGTATCTGACTCATTAAGGATACAACCACACTGACCAAGAAGTAAAAACATAATCAACCCTAACAAGAGCCCATTAAAGGGCCCCACAGCAGCCACTCTTGTCCAAAAGTTAATTACCCTTACATTTATCAGCCACTAATGAGAAATTACCATAATTAGAAGGCAATGTAAATGACATCAATACGTTTTACGACTGGATGGAGGAGTAAGGGACTAGGACAGCCAAACCAATGTTCAAGGGTATGATTTATATAATGAATAGGAAGTGCCTCAATATTTTAGTGAATAAATGATGATATTCATGATGCAGTTCATCAAAGTGAGTGTCTGCAAAGTCCCTAGAGTGAGGAGCATTTTACCATCCTTCTTTTGTCTGCGGCGCTGGTCCCTCTTGCGGCTAATGATGCAGGCAGACCCGAGCAGCAAAACAAGTGCCAGGCACATGAATCCAACGCCAGCCAGCACGCCGGCCAGCAACGGCTCAGGGACAAACTCCAGGAGGCGCGACGTGGAGGGGGAACTCTCCATCCCTGTGATAATGGTCCAACAGAGAGGTTTGTTGGTAAAGTTTGGTCAAATCCTGGAAATGACTTTGGTTGTGACCAGAAGCATTTAGACTCAGCAAGTTCTTCAGCTATTTTTATGTTTGATTTTCTAAGGTAAGTCGCATTGCCGGCCATCTTGAATTTAGTTGACTGATTCTTTCTTACCTTAGACAAAACCTGTTCTTGTTTCTTTAGTTGCAGCTATACCAATAATAGACCAAAATGTTATTCCTAAAGCTGTACTGGCTACAAGCCTGCCATAAATTAAACAATCAATGCATCTCAGGTTCTGTTTGAGGTCTTTACACAATCATTTGTTATTTTTCACAGATAAAACTCTTTATCTGATGACACCAGAAAAAATGATTTTGTCTGCCACTTGCACTTGACCATTAATGCTGAACAATCTATCATTTTCAAATCAAAATTGCCATTTCAGACCAAGGGATGATGTAATCTTCAAATCTAGCTTATTGCCACAACCTTGACTGACCCAGAATCTATTGTGTCCACTATTTTGCACATTGAGCATCATTCAAAACTGTTAATTCAAAAATAATGATGGCACAAACTGTTGTTGAGTTACCGTACGTCAAAGCAAACAAGTAAAATGTGTCCGGATTCCTTGTTGTAGCAACAGTTTTCGATGACAAAACATTCAGACAGCCCAGAAATACCTCCAATTCTTACAATTCATTAGATTTCATCTTTGCATCATTAGAGTAATAGCTTTGAATGTTTTGATGGTAAGGATGTCATTTCCTGTCATATTTGTAAATGTTTCTGTACATTCTGAAGCTTGATTCGAAAGAGAATTTTTAATCACTTTGTGTCTGGAAATGAGAAAAAATGGACTAGAAATGGACATAAACTTAAGAGAAAAAGCAGTTAGATGAATGTCTGCTTTTCATCAACTCAACTCAGTCTCCCTTTCTATAGCACCTTGCAGGCAAGATATGACACCAAGGCTCTTCACAGACATAAGACTCATAAAGACAGACAAAAGCAACATAAAACAAAATAAAACTGTAATACAAGTTATATGATAAGACAAATAAAAATATGAGGAAAATGCCAAATCATAAAAGACTTCAGCCTTGTTTTAAAAACCACCACAAAGGTAAAAGCCCTTATGGACAGAGGAAGCTTGTTCCAAAGCTACGGACCTGAGAGGGCTCTATCCTGCCGACCTAGGGACTGAAAGCAGAATGTTTTCTGAGTTGAGTGTCCGAGCAGGGACACGTGGCCGTAATAAAGCTGCCAAGTAAGGTGGTGCCAACAGAACCAAGATTTTGAGGACCAACAAAAATGTTTTAAAACAAATTCTAAAAGCAACTGGTAGCCAAACAGCTACCACCAAACAGGACTGAATTACAGTAGTCCAGGAGTGAAGGAAAAAAGGCACAAACTGCAGCCAGGAGATCACATCTTGACAGGAACCATTTCATAATGAACACGCATCATAAATGATGAAAGGAGGAAAAAAAAACTCCATTTAAGTTTCCATCAAAGTAGAGGGCACTATCACTCTTCACTCTAAGATTAACTGTTGATGCCCTTAACCGAGAGCTGAAAACACCAGTCAATCGTAGAGGCACCACTATGACCATTTGGCCCAAATAATACGGGCTCTTACTTATCGCCATTGAGGCGCCAATAGTTTTCAGACACCCACATCTTGACCTCAGTCAAACACTCCAAGAGGTTATTAATAGGGCGATCACCTCACCTGATCACCTGCTATAAAGTCACCTGTTCAAGCTGGCTTTTGAGTGACCTTTGTCACCACCCTCATCTTACCCTGCTCTTTCTAATTATTCCGCCTTTCCCATGATCCACTGATTTCCCTCTTTCCTGTTCATTTTCTCTCTCTCTTTCCTTACATTCTTTAATCACAGTATTTTTCTCATTTTAAACATTCTTTTTTTATAATTAAAAAAACATTTTTTATATTTTAATTTGTGTTTTGTTTTTGTGAAGCACCTTGTGATTTTTATCTTAAGAGGTGCTACATCAAAGATCGTTTTCTCTCTTACCTATCACGGGGCAAGTATAGCAGGATATCATCAGCATAGAGGTGAAAACTAATGCCAAACCTACACAGGATGTCGCCCAAAATAGCAAATGTTTATTAAAATGGCATCATTTTTGGTTACTTTGACCTAAAGCCTGATTCATGCTTCTCCGTCTGTGTCAGTGCGGAGACACACAACGTCCTTGCGGGCATGCTGGAGAGCTCCGCAAGGACGACGGAGTTGAGCTCTCTTTTCTAAACATCCGTCAGTCGAGACGGACAACGCAAGCTTGTGATTGGTCAGGACGCCGCTGTTGTCTACAGCACCGCCATTGCGCCCTCAAAAACATAAAGAGAGCAGAGGATAATTAGCGGCAGACACGGAGAAGATTGAAGAATACCTCGCAAAAAAACTCTAAAAACATGAACGTTTAATTCCCCGTGACTGGAGGAGTGAAAAGATGCGCAGCAAGCATTTTATTTGTGGACGGAAATGACAGGAAACGTGGGTTTAGAGGTGGCGAGCGCACAAAGAGGTGGAGGAGGATGAGAGACAAATTTGTCTGTGTTAAAAAGTCTCTTATGTACACAAAACACAATATAAACACACTATGTTGGACCGATACATGACAGGATACCACAGAACAGCGCTACGCCCTCTGTTGTCCTGCCGGGGAATTGCTTTGCAACACTCTCCAGGAGACGGAGAAGTATGAGGGCAAAACGCTTCCGTCAATCCATGCGTGTCTGTCCCTTGCGGAGCTGACGGAGAAGCATGAATCAGGCTTAACTCTAAAAGCTTTCCTTTTCGAGATCATCATTATTTAATTTCTAACTAGGCAGACCTGCTTTGCATTCATACTCTATATTTCCAACTACTTGCATCAGTCTTTTCATGTCACAATACATTCGTCCCGTTTACACCGTGGCCAAAAACAAAGAACTATGTTTTGGTGGATTTACATGCAAATCAATATCCCTCACGAGCATCGTTATCCACATTAACTCACTAACATGTTTGATTTAAAGAATTTGCAACACAGCACCTCACACTGAGATTTTTCTCCTTGAAGGACACAATAGGAGGAATTTGTGTGAGATTTAAATAAATATATGTAAAAATAAATCATTCTTGACTCTTTTGAGAAGTTATTAGAGTTATTTCCATCACTGAGGCTTCAAATGGGCAGCATTCCCTGGAGTGCTGCTCTGATTTTGGTCCAATTCCGTAGGGACAGGAGAATAAACATTGACACAGAAGATAAATACTTGTCCAAGAAAACCTAAGCGAGGAGGGTGGATTGAAGTGGGACTTTAAAGAAAGGGAAGGTTGCTCTTGAACACCTACCAGCAGTGGAGATGTTGACTGATGGACTGGGCTCGCTCAGCAGCTCCCCGCGACGGGAAAACATCCGCAGCTCGTACACACAGTCCTGGAGAGGACACACACACACACACACACACACACACACACACACACACACACACACACACACACACACACACACACACACACAGTGGGGAGGACAGAGGATGAAGCCGGCACTTTGTCAACACATGCATGTGTCTGCAATGCTAATGAACTTCATTTGAATTCATGTAGACCGGTACAAGACAGAGAAAAGGAAGATAAAACGGGCCGAAGAAGAAAAGCGAATGCATGCTGAGTGGCAGACGACAGGAAAGTGATAACTGCCATGTCGTGTGTATAATTAAGGGCCTTCAAAACTAAACCATTGAAGTATAGACTACTAAAAAAACTTAAACATATTAAATTTGATTTGGCAGAGAAGGAGAAGTAGGGACTAGCTTGTTACCGTCTGCAGACCCTGAACCAGCATTTGGCTGCTGTTGGCACTGATGTGTTCATCCAGATTAAGCCACTCCCCCTCGGCGGTGCGGGTTTGCAGAACAAAGCCTGTGATGGGGGGCTGCTGAGCTTCAGGAAGAGACCACTGCAGAATAACACCTGCTGAGCCCTGATTAGCTGACAGCGACGCAGGGGGCTTTAGTTTACTTCTCCTCTCTGGAGGACCTAAAGCAGAGAGAATGAGAAAGTCTTTCAGTGAATCGGTGGGAAACATTCTGGCGGAAAAATTAAATTAGCGAAGAGGAAATTGCTGCCGACACCGGCACTGAACCTCGAGCAGAGAGGCCAACCTTAGTTCTTCAGAGAATTCAAATGGATTCATTTCTTACATAAAAAGTTCTACTTCAAGTTGGAATCAAGTTGCAAAAAAATATGAAAATATATAAATAATTTATTCCCTGTATTTTATCAAAAAGCATAAGAGGTTTTGAAAGTTTAATAAAAAAGTATTTTCTGCATTTAGTGTTTAGTTTCCGTCCTTAATCATAAAAATGTATCTGGTGGCTAAAAAAAATTAAAGGATTCAACATTCCCACAGACTCGCTTCTCATTTTATAACTAAATTAGGACAAAGGACAGAGAATAAATCAATATATAAATTACAGAATAAGATGAGGGGAAGGATGTTTAAAGCACTGGACATGAATATTCATTTTCTTGCAATATTTTGATGATGTAATGAACAGCTGAAAATGGCAACAACGCCTTTTGAAACTACGTCAACACATAAAAAAATATAACGGACTGACATTCAAGCCTTCCACACCAGGGCTTTGAGAGGGAAGCTAAGATACCCAGAGAGAACATAAAGGTTGTTTACATTTAAAATATGCATGTTTTTTATTACTCCATGAACATATTTAAATACCACATTTGAGTGCGACAATGAAACAAGGCGAGAGTACTGACTCAAAGTCCGCGCTGTGGTGATCTCACTGAAGGGGCCAGCGCCGATTTTATTCTGAGACAAGATGCTGAACTGGTAGTCCGTGGCAGGAGACAGGCCCGACACCAGCAGACTGGTACCAGAGGACGGGAGGACGGGCACGGAGAACCAGTCCTGCTTCCCATCATTATCACCAACTGAGATCCTCTTCACCCTGCAGAGGCAGAGAGGGAGATAGAAGCAGAGAATTCTCAGAGTCTGATTCTATGAAACATGACAGAAAAGCAGGTTCCATTAATCATTGATGCTCATCATCAGCTCAAGATGTCGCGGCAGAGACAGCGCTGATGTAGCCCTGATATTAGTCACAGAGCTTGCAACTCCAATTTTGTGTGATTTACATGCTTCTATCAGAGCGGACGTTTTCCTCAATTATTTGACCCTCAAGCCTTAGAAAAATGGAAGAAAAAGCCACTTATTCAAAACTGGCCTCAAATATTCAAATCAGGGTGAAAAGCCGACTTTTTGTGGATCAGGCCTTTCACCCTAGTGAGGTGGTGTGTTTCTGAGCAAGAGAAGGAAATGGTCAAAATGTGACACAGTGAATCATCTCACAATGACAGAGGATTCTGCAAAGACGTTTTACTGCTCTCAGCAATGCAGATCAAAAAGCTTAACCAATATAAAAAAAAACACAAAATATAAATCACTTTTCAGAATAAACTAGAATAGAAAAGAATATCCTATTGTTGTCCCGCATCGAGGAAATATCAGCGTACCAGCAGAAACTTAACTGACACAAGGAAGTTACATAAACCTCATATAGTGTAGATTTGGTAAATGATGCAACAGAAGCTGGTTTGAATCATGTTTATCTGAAATACTTTAGTTCGGTTATGTTTATAACGTTATAATGTTGACTGTAGTTATGGAGTTCCTCAGGGTTGAATGTTTGGTCGAATACACTTCACGTTATGAGCTGCATTAGGTCAATTTATTAGACATCACATGATACATTTCCATTGTTTGCTCATGTCATCCAGTTACATTTCTCCATTAAACATGATGATTTCAATCTGTTAATTAGATGTGTTTCAAAAACATGGCTGACAGTTATGTTTCTATTTTTGAATTCAGAAAAAAAACAACTTGAGAACAAATTGTGTTCATTCACTTCCTCCAGTACAAAAGAAAGCAACCCATTGTTAAATTCTTGTATAAAACGCATTACTGAGACTTCCTTCCATCTGCGTTGTCGTGCTAAAGTTAAGCACATCCTGGCCCACGGTGATCCAAAAAAACTAGTCTAGAACGGAACACTTGGCTCTTAAAACTGTAGATTTGATTCCCAGAGTATCTGGAAGTGGGACAAGAAGCAGAACTTTTAGTTCTTAGAGAAATTATCTGGCCGCTGATATTATTGAGTCTATTTTCAGAACATATCCTGCAGGTAAAAAGTTACATTTCACCTTTAAAGTTGACTTTAAAAACAGTATTGACAGATAGAAAAGAACATTTTACTGCTAGTTTTATTATTTGAACTAGGAGTCTAGCATGTCAATGCCAGGGAAAGTTTGTCTGTTTCTCTCCTTTTAGTCTCTTCTCTGGCTAAGCCAGGTTCCAGTTTCCATCCTTAAAGTGACTGTGTGTATTTTTCCTAGCGAAAGGAAGCAGAAGCTATTTAAACTGTTGCAAGCAAGCTGTAGTTTTGTGTTGGAGACCTTACCAACGGATCCCCATTAGGGTCAAAAAGCCCTGGGGTGTGCAAACTTCAGCAAATTGACAAGCACATCAGACTCCCTTTCATCAGTGGCAATGAGTAAAGAGGTAAATGTGTAAAACAACAACGTTTATGAATGGTGAAAGTTTTGTAACCGTTTGTTACAAATCAGTAAATGCATTTTGTCCTAAAGGACTCCCGTAGGAGAAAACATGGCATCTACTGTATTTTCCGGACTATAAACCGCTACTTTTTCCTGAAGCTTTGAACCGTGTGGCTTATAATGAGGTGCGGCTTTACTGAAGATTTTCCTTCACCTGCCAGGGGACGCTTTAGCGGAAAGTGAAACAGGTGGAAGTCAAAAGTGGAAATCGAAGAAAGTGCTCATTTTAATTTAGCACATGCAAGCAGCCGGCATGACGAAGTTTTTTTTTCAAATCCATACCCCCTCATCATGGTAACTACACGTATTAGTTCATATGATGCCGCATTTAAGTTGAAGGCCATCGATCTGGCAGTAAAGGAGGGAAACAGTGCTGCCGCACGTAAGCTTGGCATGAATGAATCCATGGTCTGGAGACGGCAGTGGGAAGAACTCATTCAAGCCAGCTTCTCCCGGGATGATGACAGCGACACTGACATCGCGACAGAAAAGGTATGTGATGAAGCTCTTCTGAGGCTGTTCAACTCCGACACTGAAGAAGATGACTTCAGTGGTTTCAGTGCGCAGGAGGACGATGAATAAACTAATCAATAACTTTTCTGTTTTGTTTGATACTGATCAGTTCCGTTACGTTCAGTTAAACTACGTTTTCAATTCAGTAGATATCCGGTAGATATCTGCAGCTTTTAGCCCGGTGCGGCTTATATAAGTACAGTTCCATGTGTTTTTAAAAACTTACTAGGTGCGCTCTATAGTCCGGATATTACGGTAATATGACGTCACCCTGGGACTTAGACCTGCTCCCAAGTATTTTAGACCTGCTTTTTATGGTTATATGTTAAAAAGCTGCCAATATTTCTCAACAAGTGAGCATCATTTCATCCATTTTCATTAACATTTTGATGGACATTTCCAGAGATTAGTGATAAAAACTACACATTGTCCCTTTAGGGCAGACTTTCTACTTTTAGTGGAGTAGTCTACTTTTAAAACTAAACTTCTGACTTTCCATTTCCATGAATCCTAGTCGGCTTGGGTTATCCTGGCTCATTCCTTTAAAGGGGCCATGTTGTGGAAAAATCCACTTTTTATTTTTTAGCCTTTTACCTTATGATATTGTTATTTCCTCATTAAAACAAACCCAAACCAATTTTTGTCTGCATCCATGCATTTTCCTGTATCAGCTGCAAATCTAGAGTTTTACAATGAAAGTTCTGAAAACACCTGAATGAAAACTACTTTCATCAGCAGGCATTTCTCCTTTTCCTGAAGCTGGTGGTCTCATTTCTGAAACCTGGATACTCTGACAAACTACTTCTGCATCAGGAGCAGAACACAGTCCTAAAAACCACACATCCTGTCTACAGAGATGTGCATAATAGGCAGCACTAGCCTGGCCTGCCAGACTCTTCCTCAGTTTAATTCTGCACAGAGAATGAGTCTGGTAACTCTCCCATGCAAATAACCCCACCCCCTGAGAATTCTAACTGAACCAATCAGCACTGAGCAAAGTAGGTCTGGTTACTCAAAGGCAGACCAATCAGAAAAAATGCGGAAATGCAGACTGTACTGCGCAATACTGTAGTCTTTTAGATGTAGTCAACATGGCGCCTGGCGATGGCGCTAACATCTTTCTTTAGAAGAAAGGCTTTGAGCGGTTCTTTTTGTTGTGGTTTTAAAGACATGTCCAAGAGGAAAGAGCTCGAACAGACTTGGTAGTCCAGTGGTTAGAGTGCCAGTCAGGCAACTAAACCGCTGGACTACTAAAGACAATGCAACAGCAGGCTTGCCTAAGATGCTGTTGTAGGTGTGTTTTGTCTGAGCGGGGGTGGACGGAGTTTCACTGAGACAAATCGTTTCATTTTAAAGCTGACAAAAATAACTCATATTTAAAATAAATGACATCTCAATAGTGCCACCTGTAATATTTTATCATATATTGTGCCCACCTTTGCTCTTAAGATTTAAAATGGCATGTTCTGGAACCTTTAATAGCGTTTTCTTTCCCCCGCTGTTGCCTATTATTCTATGCTTGCTTGGGTTGAGGGTATTTGTTGGGAAGAAGATTTATTGTTGTTACCTTCTTGTTTTTTTTAATAGGGCACATTTAACATTTTATAATCTCTGAATCAGATTACATTACAATAACAACTGAACTGAGTGACCGCAGTTGGATTTGAATCTGGACCTGATGTGAACCGGACCTTCATGAATAAACTGAATTTAATTAAATGGTCAAGCTACTGTTCCTGCTCGGGCTTTACGAGAACAGCTTTGGAATAAAACGACAAAGGGGAAAACGTTTAAATGTTATGTTATTGTTTGAACAGCCAAGAAAAGCTGTAGCTACTTTTATTTAGCTTTTTCTGTGATAAACTACTTGTGCCCACTACAAGTCAATCTGTCAAAACAAAGATAAACAGTTAAGACTTGAGCAGTTGGTTTATACCGTTTGTGCTTTTTCATGTTTTTCGTTTGCATGTTGCTGCATCAAAGACCCATTTCCCTCTCTGGGATTGTTACTCATCATATCTTCATGCTCCAAGGCTACAGTGTGTTTTCTGTATGTCTTCATTTCTGTCAGAATATGTTTTTTATATATTTAGTTGGGAGTTTTTTATTATACTCTTGGAGATCCACCGTGTGAAGACCTCATACCCACAACTTTAATAATCATGCAATCTTTTCATTTACCTTTATTTTCCTGTTACCAAGAACACTGCTGTCAGTGAGGGTTTTTAAAGCCTTCAAGCAAATAAAGTACACTCAGCTGTGATTTCTAAGCCAGTACAAAATAGGATGAGTCACAAAAAACAAGTGTATTATCCTGTCTTTTATCAGTAAACCTCTATTGTAGCTGGCATGGCCACTGCATTGTAAAGTTATGATCTGCAGCAATGTTTTATATTGTAGCTGCCAAGAGGTGATAACAGATAAATGAATTCCTCATCCAGGAGATCAATAGAGTAATATCAGGGCTGTCGATGGCTGCTATGGTTACAGCCCGAGAAGAAAGTGGGAGGCTTTACACCCACCACACTGAAAATGTCTGCGCTGATCCTCCATCAAAGCCTGCCTCCCAGGATATGTTGGCCTCCTTCACTCCTGGAGAGACGGACAGAGAGGTAGCCGCATGGGGACTGGTTCCTGTAATGGAAGGAGAGGAGAGGAGTTTACAGCTAAAGTTTAGAGGCCATCTCTTGATGTACCACATTTATACAATGGAGGCGTAGTGGAGGCATCGGCATCCGGCCTGTGCTGGGCATAACAGGTTTACACAAGAAAATAATTTAGGACAGAAAACTAAAAATGCGAGCAGCTCATGTAATCACTGTTGTGTTTTCACAGTTGGGCCGGACTCACCCAGGACGAAGACTCTGGTACGAGCCTTTATGGAGGCCACGCGGTTGGAGATGCTGCACTCCCATTCCCCCTGGTGGTCTTTGATGACAGGCTGCAGCAGCAGAGAGCCGTTGGGTTCAATAGAATAAGAAATGGTACGAACCAGATCCACCTAAAAAACAATCAGACAGGGCACAATAAAATATAAACAAACACACAGATGGCTACCTGACTAGCTCAAGACTGGTCAGGACTCATTGGGATGTTCATGATCAACTTAGGAACACAATATTTTATACTACAGATAAGACAAAAATATCTTTGTTGATGCTGGAATAAACTAATTAGAACAAATGAAATGTGTTTATAGTTGTTTATTTAAAGCGGTGTGTTTGAAACAAGCAAACACAAAGAATGGTTTGTTTCACAGTTTTCAAATAAGAATCAACATGTCAAGATTAAAAGTCAAACGTTGAGGAAAAAAATTCTAAATGCTAAATCTACGATAAAGCTGCCATGCTTATTCTTGAATCAGTATTTTGATCTTGAAATGTTGACTTTATTTTCTAAAATGTTGTGATTTTAATCTAGAAATCATTTTCCACATTTTATCACAAACTTTCTGCTTCTTTATTTGAAACAGATTTTTGCTTTGACCTTGAGCTACATTATGATCATGAAAATAGTACTTCCACTTTATTCTGAAAATTTCATATTTATTCTTGAAATAGTTTTTAAATCAGTGATTGGCTGCCTACAGTTATTTATAGGTTTGTTTGTTTTTTATGTGAGCAACATTTAAACCAGAAATCACCGTTTCTTGCATGTACTTGATGCTTTTGTGTTCCAGATTAAAATGACTTTCGGCTTCTCCGGGTTTCTTAAAACCAGGGTTAGAACTTCTAGTAACACTTTACGATAACATTACTTTGTGCATTAATAAGCATTGATAAACTATTAAACAACTGCGTAATCATAAATTATAATTATGTAATGCATTACTAAGCAGGTACACCCCCCCCCCCCCCCCCCCCCCCCCCCCGGCCACTTGTCCCAACCTTAAGGGCACTAAATAGTTAACAATATTTGGAAAGTTAATAAAGGGACCCTTTTTACAAGTGTTACCATACTTATTTCAGTTTCTTTGAGCATATAAAAAATATCAATAAAACTATGAATTAGCTTTATGCTAAAGCTGAAGAAGCTAGCTGCAGGCCTACACCTATACAATAATCTGAATTGCTCTAATTGTCTTCTAGCTTGGATATAAAACACAACTATTGGGACAAGTCTTGGTCTTTCAGAGCCTGACTTCTAGAACAGTTGCACTCTAAATCTCTGCTCTGAAGCTCTGATCTTGGTGGGTTAAAAGAACTTCCACTCATCGTGCTTTCAGAAAGTGTTTCACTGCCAGGAATGTTCTTTTAGGATCTGTGGAATAGCAGTCAGAGGGACTTCTACCCCGTTAATGTGACTTATAACCAGGTGTTCGCACAAGGTGTATGGACACAGGGGACCTGGTAAAATCCCACAGACTTTGCATGGATCACTCAAAGGCACGCTGGATAAAAGGATCAGGAAAATGTTTTATGTCCTTCTCCATGCTTAGACAAGGTGTTTGGGAAAACTCACAAATGAATTAAGTGCATCTTGAAGCTAATGTTACTTTTGTTGCCAGCTGCTATCTAAACACACGCCTCCTACATCACGTTGCTCTGACAGCTACGTCTACCCATGAGCTAAGGTCAAGTGCATTTTTATAGAGTGGGGGGAGTCACCTTACACCATGTTTGATTGGATACATTTATGTATGTATGCCGGGGTGCAGGATGACTTATCATGAGTCAAATAGATGCAGAACCGGATATGAGCATGCATAATAATGATTGCAAATATTATAGCGACCAAGAATTGCGTGACTGTGCCTTGGTGAACGATACACTGTCCATCATCCACTTCAATAGTAGAAGTTTGCATTGCAATTATGATAACATATTGGAGTTTTTAATACAAAATAAAATGAGATTTAAGGTCACTGCAGTTACAGAAACACGGTTACAAGAAGGAGATATTGAGGACGTTCAAATAGATGGGTATGAGATGTATTACCAGAATCGGGAAAATAAAAAAGGTGGTGGTGTAGTACTGTATATGTAACACCCCAAAAAGCAAAGTGATGTATAACATGTCGACTGCAACTGATGATGTAATGGAAATGATCACTGTTGAAATAACATCTGAAAAACAAAAAACATAATAATTAGCAGTGTTTATAGAGCACCAGGTTCCTGTATTGAATCATTCACAAACAGTTTTGGAAATGTTTAATGGAATCGGTAACAAGAATTTGTTTCTCTGTGGGGACTTCAACATTGATTTGAAAAATACAAACAATTTATCAAACAACTTTGTAAATTTCATGCATCTACTTGGTCTGTTTCCTCTGATAACCAAACCCACAAGAATTACTGTACAAAGCTCAACAATTATAGATAACATATTCTGTAATGTTTCAGGGGGGTTGGAGAGTGTTGGAATCATAATGACTGATATTAGTGATCATCTGCCAGTTTTCACGTGCTACGAGAATGATCAGATTAGACAGCAACCTCAAATGGAAAATCGTATAAGGGATCGGTCACAAAAAGCCATAGACTCATTTAATAGAGCCCTAGAACAGCAAAACTGGGATGAAATATATATATAAATTATTTAAACTTGGCTTACAGCTCTTTTATAAGAATACTAGGCAATCAATATGAAAAAAACTGTAAAATCAAAAAACTTACAAAAAAAGATTATAAGAATAAACCATGGTTGACAAAAGGACTGCAAAATGCCTGCAAGACAAAAAAAAGCCCTATACAGAAGCTTTTTAAAACAAAGAACCAGCGAAGCTGCGCACAGATACAAAAAAATTAGAATAAATTAGTTTCAATGATAAAAATACAAAAAAATAATTATTAAAGCAATCTACTAGAAAAAAATACAAACAATATAAAGGCAACTTTGGGAATAATAAGCAATGCTATAAAAAGAAATAAATCAGTTTCAACTGTTCCGAATTTTTTCTTTTATGAAGACACTGAAATAAACGGTCCAAACAAAATCGTCAATGAATTTAATCAATTCTTTACTAATGTGGGACCTAGCTTGGCAAACAATATTCCAAAAATAACTAATTATAACATAGGTGAAAAAATTATAAGTAACAAAAATAGCATGTTATTAAATCCTGTGACAAAAAGTAGTAAGATAAGTTGTAAAAAAACTCATCAATAAAAGAACAACTGACTGCGACAATTTAGACATAATAATAACAAAACATAAAATAGAGAATATTATCCATCCCTTTACTTATATATGTAACTTATCATTTACAACCGGCATATTTCCTACCACAATGAAAATAGCTAAAGTCATTACGCTTTACAAAAGTGGAGATAAGCATATCTTCTCCAACTCCCGACCGATATCCCTTCTGTCACAATTCTCAAAAATATTAGAAAAACTATATATTACCAGATTGGATGCATTTTTGAACAAAGAGAATATCTTAAATGACAGTCAGTATGGGTTTAGACCAAATCTCTCAACTTCAATGGCACTAATGAACTAACAGAAGAAATATCAGAAGCATTGGCAAAAAAGTATCTTCATTGACCTAAAAAAAGCATTCGATACAGTTGATCGTGACATTCTTCTAAAAAAAACTTAGTAATTATGGCATAACAGGAACAGCCCTAAAATGGATAATGAGTTATTTACATGACAGGAAACAGTATGTTCAAATAAACAACATCAAATCTAATCTGGATAATATTACTTGTTGAGTACCACAAGGGTCAGTACTAGGCCCTTAACTATTTATCATTTATATAAATTATATTGTCTCTACATCTAATATATTAAAGTGTATCTTATTTGCAGATGACACAAATTTTTATTATTCAGGAGACAATATTGATCATACGATAGAAGTGACTCAAACAGAGTTGGAAAAAATCTAAATTATGATTCGATGGAAATAAGCTTTCATTGAACATAGATAAACATATTTCATGATATTCAGTAATAGAAAGTTGAATAAAAAAACATTAATAAAATTAGATGAAATCTGTATTAAAAGAGTAAAGGAAGTTAATTTTTTGGGAGTCATCATTGATGAGGATTTATCTTGGAAACCACATGTAGCATCATCAAGGTTCTCTAATTTGTGGCAAAGGTCACATTTACCCAGCTGGGTCAAACAGTAACTTTCAAGTCCACAGATTAACCAAGGAGTCATGATGTCTGGAAGAACATCACCACTATCTGCTGCTGTTCCGTCCCAGAAGAAGGACACTTCAAGTTCACAATAATAATTAAATAATAATATTAATAAACTCTTTGATTTTATTATTGTTTATTATAATCATCATAAATAATCACTTGGTTCAGTATAAATGTATTTTAATTACATTAAATGAATTATTATGCTTTGGGTATAATAATGATTACTATGATTATGGTTGATGACAGTAATGGTGTTCAGCAAATCAGAAGGTCAGCTCCATCTTATCCATCTAACACACAGAGTTTATCCAGAGTAAACAATAACTGCCAACACGTTTTTGACGCATGACCAAAGCTTTCTTGCTGAGAGTGGGGGGTGTGTTCTGAGAGCTTTGTAAACTAACCTGCAACAGCTTTCACGCCAGTTCTTGAACCAACACCATCGAGGAGACGGGTCGGCCGCCCTGATCCTCTGCCAAGCTGTTCTGTCACGCCGACAAGAATAGTTAAGAATAAACGTAAACTGTAACCAGCTGACGAAAAACTCCTTCCAGAGTTTATTGATTTCTGAGTTAAGTTAGGATGAGAAACTTCTTCAGAGTTAAGCCAAACGCTCGGCATTGTGTACCCGGCGACATCTCTGGACCAGAGGATCGGTTCACTTGCATCTTCTCTACCGGACCAAGTATCAAGAGGTGAACACCAGCCTCCCTGATCTCCGGATCCACAAAGAGTGTCTCCTGTTTGGGTGAGGTAGCACACAGGAATGTGTTTGATGCTGTTTTCTCTAAGTAAACAACTCAGGTAGCTGCAAAACACTTCCATTTCCAGCCAGAACGCGTTCCTCTCTCTGAAAGAAATCTTCTGAGAATTCCATTCACGCATCCAAACTCGTATTTTCATTTAGCTGTCATCCAGCCACAGGTTTGCCTTTTAAAACAAGTTTAATATCAAAGCTGTTAAAAATTGTCATTAAATTGTCATCCTTGAATTGTCATTTATAACTGTCATTCAAATCTTAAAGTTTAAAAATTGTTAGTAATGAATTCTTTATTTTTTAAACTTGCCTCATTCTTGAAATGAAACACAGAAAGGTATAATTATTTCTGGTTATTGAAAAGCAAAGATTCCTAGCTTCTGATTCAAAAATAAACTTTTGCCATTACATTTAATTATCCTAAATTAAACATTAATCTTTGGATTAAAAATAGACCAAACAGGTTGGTGCATGAACTTAGATCGATTATACACGTATCCGGGATATTTATATATGATCTAAGCTTCATCTGCTTGGTCCTTTTCAGAATCTAAAGCTGAATAGCAACAGTTTTGATTCTAGTATGTAGATTAATCCTACACACATATAAACAATATCAAAACTAAAATAGCTAAATCAATTGCAATATTACACAGAGTGAAATGGTCACCAGATGACAAATCCCTATATTTATTATACAATTCATTGATCGTACCGTACTTGAACTACTTTGTTGAATTTGGGAATAACATATAAAACCTATACACATTCAGCTTTTATCCTACAAAAAAAGCAATAAGAATTATAACAAGAAGCAATTACAGAGATCCATCCAGCCAATTATTTATCAAATTAAAAACATTAAAATTTTACGACCTAGTAGATTATACGATTTTGAAATGTATGTATAAAGTCGACAAAAAGCACCTTCCAACAAATTTAATCATAAGATTTATGGAAAGAAAGAGTAGTTGTGATTTGAAAGGCAACAAAATATACACGATACCAAAACATAGGATAAATATAAAGGAACGTTGTCTATCAATATATGGAGTCAAAATGTGGAATAAATTAAGTACCAAAATCAACAATACCAAAACAATATATACCTTTAATAAACATATCAAAAATGAAATGCTTAGCTTATATGATGCTATGAGATAGACATATTTATGAAGTAGAGAGGATGAAAGGGAAAACACACATTGTATGTTCTACTTTGTTTCTTTTAGCTATTTTTTGTGTGTTTTATTTTGCATTATTTGTTTTCTCCTTTCATTAATATAAGAAGAAAAAAAATGTTTGTGCACATATTTGTTTTCTCTCCATTTTTTGCCTAAGCTAAATCAGTAAACCAGGTCAGACAGTTTTTTTTTATTAACTATAATAACTTTGTTGTCATTTGTATTTATTTTGGTTAAGGGGAACAGATAACATAAGTTTAGCTTCTTTCTGTTCCTTTTTCATTTTTTGTTTTCACAAACCTGTTTTGTGTTTTGTTTTTAATTGTGAAAAAATGAAAATAAACTAAAAAAAATAAAAAAATAAAAAGGATTGCTGTCAGGCTTCATTTTTTCATGTAGAGAAGTGTAACTGGAAAAAAAACAACAACATGAATAAATGACGTGTAGACTTAAAACCCAACATTTCCTCTGTGTGAAGCACCGGTTCATTTGATCAATTTTAGTGAGAGTCTCAATTTTGGACAATCGACATTATTGACTCTACAATAGACCACATGATGTGAGGTAACCTGTGCAGTATTGTAAAGATATGGTGTGAATGCTGCTGACACACTTTCATATTTCCTACTTTTATTGTTTACATTTTATGCTTATTTAATTATATCGTTTTTCCCTATTTTTATTTTTATTGTTGAAACAGTTTGTGTTTGCTTTCTCTGTTGGTGCGCCACAGCCGGAAACTGAATTTCCCAGAGGAATCTTCCACAGGGATTAATAAAGTTCTATCCGAATCTGATTTTGTGGATGTACTTGGGAGACGAAGAGGAGGAGTAGGTGGAAGAAGAAGAGGGTGTTTAAGCAGCAGAAGCAACAGAGTGGTTGAGGAGCAGAAATTATAGTTTTAGGTTTCCCTTTAGTTATTCTCCAAAAAGTACTTAAACTTTTTGTCTATATTTAGATTTTAATTTCAAAAAGCCCCCGAAAAACATCCTAATATTGTAAATGTGTTTGTCACAAGTGTTTATAAATGTAGTTATTAGAAATTTGGTGAAAATGTGAAACTAAATATTCTGACCTTCAAAACCCTTAAAAAGGAAGTTATTGTCAATTACAATATTAATACTAATGTAATTAACATTACTTACATTAATTGTTTAATAACTACAACACTATTGATTCCAATTAGTATATTTAGGAATATATGGGATAAAATCAGTAAAGATTTTATTGAGTCAAAGAAAAATTAAACTACAGTTTATTCTCCTTTTTATTCCTCCTTCGGTTGTTTTGCGCGGTTATTCTTGGTGCCGCCATCATGTGGTTGTCGTGGGTTCTCAGAATATATGAAAGATTACGTTTTTTTTTAAGTATTTATTGGAAATATTTAAAAGCAGGCATGTGACAGCTCTGATAATATAGAGTTTTAATTTGATTTCAAAGACTAACTTTCAGATTTATAGATTGGAGCGAAGCACTGAGGAAATGCTGTGTTTCACTGATCTACAAACTTCAGTCACCCAAACCTCAGGACTTGAATGAATAATTCTTATTTTTCATTGCAGTTCGATCCCCTCTCAAGGTTTCTTTTTTAAATTTTGTAAAACCCCTTTTCAGAAAAAGCAGTACTCTTCACATTTAATGGAAGACCTTTCCAATTTCCTGGATGATTATTATATGGTATTTGGCTGTTAAATCTACAGAGAAGTGAGCCTTCTGACTCAGTCCTTTCTTTCTGTCTCCTTAGTGGAGCAACAATAATAAGCTACCAGTGTGGAGAAGCAGCTGCAAGCCTCAGAACAAACGGAAGTGAGGTTTGAGCTCATTTTTGTTTTCTTTTCTTCCAGCATCGTGTCTAGCTCACGCAGCAGGGCCATGAAGCTTTGACAGAAATGGACAGTGTGACGTTTGTGTTCGTTTTTTTTTTTTTTTTTTTTTTCCATTTTCACTGCTGTTACTTGAGCTTAGAGCAGAAAATCTACATGCCTAAAACATCTCAAAATATCCCATGTAATATGTAATTTACCTTGCTCCAGGTGACTTTAATTGTTGGGTCCACATTTCCCTGACAGGGGATGATCAGCGATCTGCCGGTTTCCTGTTTGTACTCCTTCTCCGGGTTCGTGCTGAATGATGGGGGGTCCTGTGAATTGCAAAAGCAATATAGCTGAACTGAGGAGAATGCAGCAATGCCAGCAATGGATTTTGAGACTGGATTACTGCTGCTTTGGCCAAGATTAGCTTAATAACAAAAGGATTAGCCACACAATTAACTCTCCCACTAGTGCCACAATTGTAGTCAGTCCAAGCTGACTTCGATTAATGTCAATGTGCTTACGTGTTTGCATGAAAAGGTCGTTTGGGTTAAGACTTTTAATTGGCTGTGTCAGATACAGTTTTGTCTCAATTAAAATACAGTTAAGAGAAAAAGAAGATGGGATTTGGTGGTAGTTAATGTCTTTATGTGGGATTTCTGACCACTATTTTGTTGTTTTGTTGGTCTATACAGCATGCACTCACTGGCCATTTTATTAGGCATAGCTGTTTGGTTGCTTTTGAACACAAATAACTACTCAGCTTATCATATGGCAGCAACTCAGTGCATTTAGGCGCCTGGACAAGGTTCAGATCGGGGGTTTAGGTAATCATTTTACATTGAAATAATCACAAAACATTCTACGGCCCAAGAGGGACGTAGTCCTTGTTTACAATTTGTCCCACCTCTATACTTCCTAGTTCCAGAGCCAATCATATTTGAGCCCGTGGTGTTGCCAAGTCTGTGATAGCAAACTCTGCTGCTCCAGCCTTTATAATTCAATAACAGCTGACAAAAAGCTGCAGCTTTGTGGAAAGAATGTTAGCCAGTAACAGGAGCGACCCACAAGTTATAATCCTAAGATGTCACCACATTCTTTATGTTGCACTCTAATATTGGGAAAATGAGGCTAGAGGTTAACCTTGAGCTATCGATGCTAATGTTTAGTAATAAAGTGTTCAAAAAATATCTACACTTACTTCTTCACACCAACAACTCGATATTACAGTGAATGTATTTATCTACTTATTAACTTAATGATGAACTTGATACATGGACTGCAGTACCAATATTGACCGCGGTATGTCTCTTCATGCGTATTTAAAAGTAAACATTACCGATATATTTAATACATTTGCAGTGGTCTCAAATAGGAATGAGTGCCTCGTAAGTCGCACTCTAAGGGAAAAAAGCTCCAGTGCACCAGTTTGAGGACGTAGGAGTCAGCTGGAGTACAGTGTTTTCCACACCATAAGGCTCACCTGATTATACGGCGCACAGCCAATCAGCGTCCGAGTTAAAGGTTTGGTCCGCACATAAGGCTCACTGGATCAAAACACGCACCCAGCAAAGCAAGCGAGCTTCCCGGTCGGCACAATTAAGGCAAACTGGGCAATTAGATAAAATTCAAACGTTACTCCACTCATTATCTATACTAAAAATAAATTTCTCATTATTTAAGTAACATAAATGTCCCAATTTAATGCACGGGTGCTTTTAGCAGCAAGAATGAAGATTAAAACTCTGGTAATGGCATGACTGATTGAACGCAGCGCATCTTGCCTTGTTGCCTCTGAAGCTACGCTGTGTTTTCTTCACCTGCAGCAGCTGGTCTTCCAGCTTTCTCCACTTGCGGACCATCGACTCTTTAATCTTGTATTCTCTCGCTGCTGCTCTGTTTCCATGCTCAGTGGCGTGAGTGATGGCTTTGAGTTTGAACTCTGCCTCGTAAGCGTGTCTCTTCGCTGGTGCCATGGCTGGTTACTGGTATTGCTGTGTGGAGCAGTGCCAAACCTTTTATTTGATGAGGATGATAAGGACGGCGCTGGGGGGTACCGCGCTGGGTCAGAGTTACCTTAATACATGTATAAAAGGTGCATCCGTATTAAAAGGCGCACTGCCGATTCAGGGGAGGATCAAAGGTTTTTAATAGTGCCTTATGGTGCAGAAAATACCGTACAAAGTAGCTTTAAAAACAGGATTTGGAGACTTATTTCCTGATATTTTGAAATCTCGCCTCTGATTGGCCAGCAACAATGTGACTCTAAAGGCTGATTTATACTTCCTCATCAGCTTGAGAGTGGAGTCACGCACACGCATTGATGGAGAGGTTTACCGTTTAGACTTCTCTGTCACCTGGGAAGTGTGGCAAAGCAAAACCCTGCCAGGAGAGCAGAGGGCCCACATTCTCCTCCACCCCTTCATGCGATTGGCACCCCTAAACACATGTTTCTTGTCATTTTCGTACACGTATGAAATGCTTGCTGCCTATCTTTGCACTATAAACATCAGTAACGTCTGACTTTTTCTGTGAGACGTAATTCAATCTTTTCCATCTCTGCCACTAAACATCTTCGGCTCCATTTATGTTTGAGGGGGAAATGGCAGTGCTGCTGACAAAGTTAAAGAAAGTAGCATGCTGACCAATAACATGTTTGCGGTCTTCGTCACTTTCGATAGTTACAAATTTGGGCATGTCTCCATCAGCCTCTGGGAGCCCGTTGGAAAGCATAACAGTGTTGCGTGTCTCCGTACCCACGCAGACAGGGAAGTATCAATTAGGCTTAACACTAACTCTGTTTGCTCTGCAATGTTGAGGTTTCATCTCCACAAATAATTCAAGTTCTGCTGTGTGGTAGAGCTGCGATAGGTAATGGTTAGCTTCTACTAGCCGAGACATTCTCTGCCGTTTCCTGGATGTTAAAACAACAACAGCCTTCCCTGCTGTGAATCAAGATGGGTGAGTCCATGAAAGTGACAATGTGAAATAGATCTATCAGGATTTTCTGAACCAAACGTTTTTTATTTTCTTTCAGAAGCTAATGCAGGAAAAGGGTTAGGAGACTATTTTCATAATCAGCCTGCATGTTAAACTCAGACTGACTGACCATTTAAAAAAATTAAAATAAAACAAAACACACCGTGCCGCATAGAGACGTCACAGCGGTGTCTTAAACACTCCATGCCGGCATAGCGGCATGCACATCTTGCAGCATTCATTCTACCTCACTTGGTAGTAATATTGTGGTAATTGTCTGTCTTATGAACAGCAATAGCGCCTTTGTGCAACAGAGGGAGGAGTCACCATGACGTGGGGAGTTACTGCTGAGCTCCAGCCGGCAACTATATTAACAATGAAAGTGAACAGGGGCTGTAAGTTTTGCTTTTTGAACAAAATCTGCTGAGACGGCAAACTGGAGCATTGCAGCGCTCCATGAGCTTCTCTCCGTTGGAGCTGGAGATCAGATCATCAGAGACTCCATGGGGACTGTAGGGGACAGACACCTTTAGGAGTGGCTTGTTAAAAAAACTTCATGAGCGCAGCTTATATCGCTATGAAAAGCAAGTTATGTCCAAGATAAATGGAAGTCCGCTGCAGCGCAGAGACCGCCCCCTACCCCCTTTATACCGCCATTGCCTAATCTTTTATAAAAATGGAGATGATTTTGCCACATTACCGCCACAGACTGACCACTTTTGAACAAACTAAGGCTCCCTGAATGACATCCCAGTGTTGTGGCAAATTAACAGAATTGTTTTGGAAAAATGGTAACTTGGTACCAGGCAATCTCATCTATTCTACTGGGATTTTGACCTGCAACCATCTCTCGTGTTTAGTTCACAGATTTGTAGCTGATGAAATGGCACCAATTGTGTGATGCCATCATGTCAACACGGACCAGGACCCCCAACACATTGTTGAATTCAAGATGCATGAAGTGTCTGTAGGCAAAAGGGAGGCCAGCCCAGTACTAGCTATGTGTACCTGTTAAAGCAGTGAACGTATGATCTAATGTGTGGGTGTGTGTGTGGTATTACTAACCTGCAAAACTATCCTGGTTGGTCCAGATGAGCCCATGCTGCCGTAGCTGTTGTATGGCATACACGTGTAAACGCCTGCAGCATCCTCGTTGACTGTAGCCATGACCACAGAGCCGTCCGCTTTCAAAGTCCATCCTGGATACTGAGGAAGGCACAGTAATCACATCACTCAGTCAGATGGGGAAGAAAGGAGCACATTCTATACAGCCTGTGTACTGTGTTGAGAGAAGCTTTAAAAGGCAGAAACTGTGTAACAACCCTAAAGCATTAGACTATCTCCCTTAGACGTGTCTGAGAGCTTTCCAGAAAAAATGTTTTTGATATCTGCCTGCCACAGGCTTACAGTGAAATATCTAACTCCCCACAATGTACAATCCTTTTAATCTTCTTCAGAAGGATGCATTGTTTATTTTTGATGCAGTTTTTTTTGCAAGATTTTATTTAAACCACCGGCAGGAGAAGAAATATTTTGCTCAACTATAAAACCTGCATTTATTAAATGAAACAAACAACAACAAAAATCCATTTTAGTTAATCCATCCAACAGAAGCACATTTATGACATATGTATGAAAACTAGCACTAAGAGCAGTGAAAGTCATTTCCGTTTCCATTAAGCCCCAGTGAAAGGCTCGTGTTATGCTAAAAAGTTTCTCCACTCAGCTTAATGAAGTCAAAACTGATATTATTCTCTCAGGATTGAAGCTGTGATTAGTGTGGGTATGCAAGCTTGTGACAAATGTGGTCAAATTGGAATAATTGGCAGAATAACAGCCTGACTCCGATCCCTGAGTCCCTCCTAACAAGAGCCTATCAAATCTCCCATGGAGCATCTCATCCGCTCAGACCAGAGTGCTGGGGGGGGGGGGGGGGGGGGGGGGGGGTGTCATCTTGGTGTGTGGGGAAGTGGGAGGAAAAGGATGAGCTTTTTACATGTAGAAATAAAAAAGGTCATTTTACTTTGAAAGAAAGCAGCATGAGGAAATGAGATTTTCCAATCTGGAAAAGTGAAGACGGACGAAGGTTTAAAAAAATGCAGGGAAGTCCCGTTCCCAGTTCCTAATCTATAGCACGGCCTTCACTCATCTCACCAATGAGGTGACCCAAAGATCGAAGACAAAGTCAGGGGACGACGGGGCAGAGAGGAATTCCTTAGGGATTGCTTCCAAAGCTTTTAAGACTGAGCACATTACCCATACCCATTAAAATGTATGTGATTGAATGGCCTTGCCATGAAAAGCGGGGAGGAAATTTCCATCAGCAGGCAGAGCAAATGTCAGAGAAAATGTCCTGTCCATATATATGTGTTGGGAACAGAAGATAAATTTATCCTCTGCAATTATTTTTAGATGTCATCCTAAAAACGTGACATTAATGCATTAATAAGTAATGCACTTATCTGAAGACTTGAATTAATCTGTCTTAAGAGGAATTTACTATGAGGAAACAACTTATTTCTGTAAGTCCTCCCAACACAGCTGCAGCCGTGTCATAAACCTCTGCTGAGAGAAAAGAAATAGGCTGAACCACGGTGTCCCTGGAATCATCGTGAGAGTTGTGTAACAACTCCAGTCTGAGTGGATTTGCCTCAATTTGGGATGATTTTGTTTATTACCAAGGACAGATCAAGAGGTCCTCCATCTTTTGTCCATTCCACACGCAGAAGAGGAGGCTGAGCTGACACCGGGCAGGTGATCGCTCCACCCCTACCTGTAGGGAGGTAGGTTTCCTGGGGCATCTGCAGAGCCAGGGCTGGATCTGAGGGCAGACGATTTAGATACAGCTGATTCTTTTAGAACAGAGGAAAACAACATGGTTCTAAAGCATTTATGCTTGGTTTACCATACATGTTATGAGACCATTATTACGATTTTAACAATTAAGGGAAAGCAATTAAAACAAAATTGCTGAAATGCTCTAGAATGTTCTCTGATCTGTACATTGTCCAAAAAATTTAAATCATAGCGTTGTTTAAAAGACTCCACATCACCTTCCCCGTTTTAAACTCTGATCAGTGCAGAGAAAAGATGTTTCTTTACCCATTTTGGTCCAATTTTAATATAGCTATCGTGTTCTCACACAACATCAAATAATATTGTGCAATATGGAAAGCTTGAAATTTGTACTGGGGATGACCTTCAGCTGCTAACACACCACCCTTTAGCTCAGGAGTTGGTTATTGCAGCCATGTTGGATTGAGTTTATGCTGTAGATGCACATCCAGTCTAATTTATCAGCAAAGCACATTTAAAATCCAACAAGTTCAACTAAAGTGCAAAGTGATTCAAAGAACGTGTGATCCAGTGATTGGTTCATGGAAGTTTCCATGAAAACCTTTCCAGTGGCGTAATCGATTTCTTTGCTACCAGGCAGTCAGGGTCGGTTCCAACAGAATCAGAAGGTCTTATTGCCATATGTGTGAGAAATCACAACATTAGGAAAATGCTGCGGTACTTGATACAAAGAGAAAAAAATAAGACATGCTAAAATAAGAATATAAGCACAATAAAATAATAATATAAAGTGGCAATATTTAGTTAAATGTCTACTATATACAAGACAGTGTAGGTACTGATGAGAGCGTAACAGTTGGGTGAAAACAAAACACAGGGTCATGTGACTGAAACTAAGTGACTGGAGTGGGCAGTCCGGCTGTTGTCATTCATGAGTCCAACTGCAGAGGGGAAGAAACCGTTCTTGTGAGAGGTTCTGGTCCGGATGGATCCGAGCCTCTGGCCAGATGGGAGCGAGTCAAAGACTGTGTCCAGGGTAAGACGGGTGGGCTGTGATCCCAATATGTGCTGATGATGAATCTCAGCTAATACAAGACTGGATTTTAAACCGTTATTTATAGAAAGTCTGAGTGTTTGTGGTTTTTTTAGGTCAGCTAAGGCTAAAGTACATTGTTTTGAATACTTTCTAAGATTTATAGCTAAATATATTGTGACTGTTTAAAAAAACTCTTGCACATCTGTAGCATTCAGAGTGTTTGAGATGAATTTGAGCTAATTAGACACCAAATTATAGCTTAATATACTTTTTTTCAACCAAATGAAAGTGATTTTTGTGTTTGTTGATTTGCTGAGACAGACATTTTCACTTAGACTAGCTCTAATAGAATCCATCCAGTAGTTTATGAGATTTTACCACCAAACACATGCAAACACTGAAGCTGCTGACAATCTATATTATATATATATATATATATATATATATATATATATAATTATATATATATATATTGTCATCGCAACCGACTGGGTTCTGCTGTAAATTCTTTATAAACTAAATGATCTAAATGTAGATGCATCTCTTTCAAAAGCGTGTGACTTTTATTTAGCGTCTCGCCCAGGGACCACCTCATACGTACGCATCACTTTGAGGACAGCAGAGGCAGCAGGTGGAGACAGCAAGCCATTGGTGGGAACACAGGTGTAGTTCCCAGAATCCTTTGGGATGAGACCAGAGATGAGTAGAGTCCCGTCCACCATGATCTTCACACGAGACTTCAGAGACCTTAAACGATAGACATAAAGCATAAAACTGAATGGAACAAGGAGGAAAAAAATCTAGGTGATTTGAGTCTCAGAGCGCGTAACATCAACAGAGTAGTAGAGTCTGTGCTTTTACTCCTCTGGGGGCTCTACTTCTGAGCATTGATGGAGGTGAAGGATTCTTCATCTCATTTAGAGAAAGATGAGGAGATCCCACTGAGGTTCATACTTTGATTTAGAGAGAGAATAGACTGAAAACAGACTCATGACTCACGCGGTATCCACAGAGTTTTGGCTCATTAGGAGAATAATTACATGGCTCGTTTACCGTCACCAACCTGGATATATATCTTCACTACTGATGATCCTCTTCTTGCAATGTTATAAATTCCTGGAAGCATCGGCTTGGATTAGACTTTTAAAGCTAAACTTGGTTTAAATATTTCGAAAAAATAACATGGAAAATGTGAAATGCAGTTTGAAGAACTAAAAGGTTTCATCTTCTAGTGCACTGTTCCACAGAGAAATCCTCTAAATTATGAATTCTTAGATGTTTTCTAGGAAAACTAACCTCTGAGAAATTTCTTCTACTAAATATTAAAAATAACAAGTGAGAAAAAAAAATTTAATCAAAAAGCTGTGAACTGAAAAGACACATACTGTAGGTCTTCACAGCTTGTTGTGCCACAGCAGCACTGTGATGCTGATTAAAATCTGTTTGAGCAGGTGAACGAGGCTGACTATAAAATCAGAGAACGGGTTACACGTAGATGAACAGGTTTGGTTTTCAATTCTATTTATGCTGCAGAAAAATCAAATAATTGTTGGAAATTTCCCTCGCACAGCTACTGACTCAGGATCTGTTCTCTGCTGCTGTCAGATGTTTTGTTTAGACAAGCAATTTTACAGTCAAAGGTTTTTAAATTGGCCATCTCATTCAAGAGGAAGCATGAATGTGATAATTTGTGTATTTTGGTTGTTTGTACTGTACAAGGAATTACTGCTGCCTTTTAACTCAAATGTGAAGCTGAATCTCTGAGACTAGTTGGGTGATGCAAAATTGCTGAAAAAAATGTGATATTTCTCATTTCTCAGTCGGGAATTTACTGAAATAGTAAATGTTGCAAACTAATGCCAATGTTAGGTCTCAATATGTTTGCAGTTTACTTTTATTTTACTTGAGATTTGGTCTAGAACTCCGTAAAATCGACTCATTTCTTGTAACCAGAAACTAAATTAAGAAACAACCCGTTGACTGATTTTATGCACCGTAAACCCTTTTATGAAGACATTTGACTTGTAAATTTTAGAACATGTCATTTAAAAAAGCAACAAGATTGTGTTG